AGATCAGACATTTGCCTTATAGCATGTGTGAAGAAATATGGAAAGTCTCACAATCTGTTATACGTGTGCTATGGATTTGGAAAAGGCACTTGATGGATAAGCTCGTAATTAGGAGCACGGGATTAATAGCCGGCTGCTGCGCGTCATTCAATCACTATATTCCGGTAGTTGAAGCTGTATCGGAATAAATCACGTAAAGTCGAAGTCTTTCATTGTGTACTCTGAACTGCGTCAAGTGTGTGTTTTGTCACCACTGATGTTCGTTGTCTGTATGGATAGTATAGCCAGACGCATGCAAGGCGAAGAATGCAGCAGAATCGGTACGCTGAAGTTAGAATCGCCTGTTCGCCGACGACCTCCCTATCATATCATCTGAAAAATATCTCCAGGGAACACTATTGGTTTGCAACCGAAAGCGGACTGGGAGGAGGGCGGAAAAATACGGCTAAATCGGAAGCAGCTGTGGTCTCGATTCTCTGTTCTGTGCGCTTTGCACGTTAGTGGGGCCACGCTGAAGCAGGTAAAGGAAGTTGAAATGCCTCGGATTACATTAACGAGTGATGGAAAATGGGAAGAAGAGATCGACCAATTGAGCGACCAATCGGCATGGCAAGTGGGGGTGATGTGAGTGAACTGTGCCATACTGTCGTAACTCATGTTCATGTTCAGATCGGTTGTTTTTACTGCCTTCATTCATAATCACAAAGCTTGGCTAGTGTAAAATGAATGAGATCGCGAGTATAAGTTTCCGAGTTGGGATTTCTCAAAAAAATCATTGGAGTGTCACATTTGGACAAACTGGAGCTCTGTGATTCGAAAATTCATGAAGATGGAACTGCTGTTTTCTTATGATTAAAAAATCTGTTGAGGTGTTTCAACCATGTCTCAGGAATGTTGCCAGAAAGGAAGCGAACGCAACTGCTCTGCTCGATCAACCGACAGAAGAGCTAGAAGAAGATTAAAGTGCGTCGAAATCTGTGCTCCTGACTTCGAAATTTACCACTTGAGGTCAGCTGTAGGTCTCAAAAATCGACAACAATAGGGTCAACTTCTGAGCGAGCTTCCTCCGCCACCGCAACGGAAATGCGGGCTCCAAAAAACGCGTGAAATGCGAAGGGATATTTCCGTCCAAATTTATAATCCGTCTATACTGATATAGACTTAAACTAAGTTGTTTTTCTGTTCTTACCGGTAATGCGTCGGTTTTACCATATTGCTGCTTAGACTTCAGTCTACATCAAAGCCACGATGTAAGCTTAAACATCCAGAAGATAGTGATAAGGCGTACGTATAGGACTGCCTTAATAATAATCCGGCCAAGCCGCATTATTACCGGCTTTGTAGGAACCGCAAATCAGTTTCATCTCATGCTGGTCTTGACGGTAACAGATACAGTATAACGTTGTGCTATAGCATCAACCCGCTTCAGGTACAATCCGCAGAACGTGGACATGTTGGAAGAATGTGTCAATGCGCAAATCGCGGAAGAGAAATACGACCTGGATGCGAATCTCAACCTGCTAAAACTGTATGATTCCTTTTTGTCTCATTTTGATTGCTGGTATGATTTGGTCCTGCTTTCTAGTTACCAGCTGAACCCGACGATGTATAAAGCAGATGTGGTAGCGAAGATTTTGATCAAATGTGTTATGGCTCTTCCGAAATCGGACCTTGTTCTGGCGAAATGTCTCATTGACCAGTCTCGGGTAGGCAGGCAGCTTGTCCTTCTGATTTTTTTCAGCTACTCTCAAGAAAAATGACATTTATCATGCGGAAACAATGCATTTTTGAACTCGTTTAATGTTATCTTCATAGCAGACTGTGGCCTTTACGTACATTAATATCATAAACTGTTCGTACGTCCGAGTATGTCAAATAACGAATGATTCCAAGACAAAATTTTACGGCGTGTTGCGCCACCCTTTGCTACTAGATTCCTAGGGAGTTATTTAATCAGGTCACTGTTCCGTGAACACTTGCTGTCTGGACATCTATTTAAATGCATCGAGCCATGACCTCTTTAAATGCCCTCGCTCCCTGCCCAACTATTAGCAAAATAAATGTGCAGTTAACCATGATGGATCATTCGTTATTTGACCTATACATATATATTATATCCAGTATATTGGTTGATTCGGTATATACGTGCCGTACCGCATTTTTTTGTGGTTATTCAGATATTCAAGCGCACCTTTCTGCTGCTCCATATTGCTCTTATAATTTCCGTTTCGGCATTCGCTTCTTGAATCCTATATCGTTGGCCGCTATATTAAGTCAAGGATGGCCTTAAAAGTGAAAGGATGAAGTTTCTAATATTTTCATCTTAGTGCGTGTCACGATTAATGGGATTGCATATAC